ATCCGCCAACTGTGCTTGAGGTCAATGCTATCTGAAACCACTTTTAGCCCTTCGCAGCGCTTGGCACAATTTCTTTTAGTAGAACACAGAGTGTTCCACCAAAAAACCCTCCGCCAGTAAGAACACACACAAAAAAAAAAAAACTCATTTTGAGTTATGTATTTGCGTGGAGCAGTATGCCGATAAACAGTACAACTTCAAGCGTATTCGCATCGAAAAAAGAATCAAACGTGCTCTCAAAGATGAAACGCATGTCGGCCTAGTCTTTTCGGAGGCCTGTGCACACGCTGGCGACAACAAGGTTCCACAGCGAAGACGTAGACTTGGTCCGCTGCTTCGACGAGGTTGTCGCCAGCGTGCACAGGCCTCTGAGAGTTTCGTCAGGCAGTTGAGGTGGGTTGTTTAAACTTTTCGTTCACATAACATGTTCAGAAGGCGGAAAACAGTTGCTGCGCCATCGCACATTGCCCGTAGGACTGTCTCCGATGCCTCCACCGTGCTTCGGTACCAACAACGCTTGCCAACATTAAAATGGCGACACTCTCAGTGTTGTCAGACCACAAAGCAATTTCGCATAAGGTCTATTGGCCAAAAGATAAATTTATTTATTAAAAAAAAAAATAAAAAAAATACTGTAGGTATTTAAATAAATGTTTTAATATATTTTAATAATTCATTTAGGTGAACACATTTTGTCACTAATTATATTTTCCAATTGAAAAAATTATTTAGTTCATTAAAATTTTTATATAATTTTTATACATATTTAAGTGTACCCCAGTAATTAAAAATTTTCCTATTTTTATAAATCTAAAAATTTAAGTGTTTTTAGTTTTCTTCATTAGCAAAGGTCAATACACCCCCAACTTGTCAAAATTGTTACCCCCGTGTGAACTGGGGACGGGAAAGGCATTTGAAGTCCGACTGGGAATCGCTCCAACCAGTTACTTTCCTAACTGGTCCCAGTTAACTCCATTCCCAACTGGGAGTCAAACCAGTTGACTCCCAACTGGGAATGGTTCAAACCAGTTGACCCCTCAGCTGGTCCCAGTTGGACTCCTATTGGTCCCAGTTGATTCCCAGTTGGGACCAGTTAGTCCCAGTTGAAACCAGTTGAGGTGCCAACTGGTCCCAGTTAGAAATTTTCGCCTGGGAGGCCTCAAGCCTTTCATCTTGTCAACGAACTTAGTCAGGAAAACTTTCATATTCGGGTGGTTCTTCCCAAACCAAAGTCCTGCCAGTGTGGTGTGTTTGAAGCGGAGGCTTGTGGGAGTTCGTTCACGGTGAACTGGATTGGCCAAACAAAGGTCTTTGATGACTAAAAGAGAGGACTGCCATCGGTGTTGAAGGATAGCGACAAATCGCTGTCCCCCATCCCAACTTTTTCGCGCAACGTGGCACAAGCTTTGCCTGAGGTGATGTCAATGACTTCTGCACTTGCCAGGGCATCCTGAACTATTGCAAGTTTTGAGAGGTTGTCGTGGAGGGACTCCCTGGTCTTTTCCATAACGAAGCTCAGTTGCTTTGTCATGTCGAGCATCACAAAGTATGATCCCTTCTCTTTTAGTACCGCTAAGTCTATTGCTTGTTGGCACACTGGGCAGCTAGCTGAAGTTTCTGTGTCCATCTAGAACATCTCCACAACCTTCACAGAGGTAGTAGCGACAAACCAAGCTTTCAGTCTCCGCCTTCCAAAGCTTTCGGAAAGCATATTTGCTTGGCGGCACGACTTGCCGGCCAAACAGGTTGTTGATCAGAACGAGCAAGGAATCGAGATTTGACCACGTCATCTTCTGGGACACGACGTGAGCCATTATCATAGCGATGGCACCAGCTTTTGTTGTCGGAGAATGGGGCAGCTTTTCTGTCCCAAACTGATGGAAACAGCCCGACATAAGCTGTTCAAGCAGGGGCCCTTGTGGTACAGCGTCATCTTCGTTAATCTCCCCAGCATCATCTTCGTAGGACTGGCTAAGTATCTCTACCTCAACATCGTTTCTGATGTGGTCGTCCACATGAACTTTCATCGTCGCTGGAATGTACAGATTGCGGGCGCTCGCGCTCGGCATCAGCGCCTGATTCTGATTGTTCTGAGCGGCTGATATCAATGATATCGTTATCAGCATTACCGTCAACGGATGCGGGAATCTGAGCGGCTGAGGTACAAAGGCGAGCGCGTCTTGAGGTACAGGGGCAAGCGCGTCTTGATCACCAGCTGTCTTTTGGTAATGCAGTGTTCTTCAAGGAACCACAAATGGCTCACCTTCAGTCAAATCTTACACCGCTTACGTCGCTTGGCCGGACTGGCACCCAGGGAGCGTTCCATAGCCAAAGGAACTTTCTGATGCGTAAACAAGAACTCCGGTGTAGTTCCTAGTAGTTCCTTGTGCTGTCTTGGCGCATTGGCGCCACAAGGAAGCTTGGACGGCTTGGATTGGCGGATTACCTATGTATACAACTCTTATTTGTTTCGGTTTCACTTTCAGGTAGGTCTCTGCAGGGTAGGAAAATTCCCCTCGTCGCAGTCCCTCATTCCCTCGCACCAGCTGCGTGCTATTTTAATGAGGAAGTGTTTTTGCAACTGAATAAGCCGGGATAACCTCAAGAGCTAATTCCGGGAGATAGCTTTTCGGGCCATTGTGGCATTTAAAAATAATAAACAAATATAAAAAAACTGGGACGGTAAAAAGATTTTCGTTTTGTTTTACTGCCAGAACGGGTCAGATATTTTGTAAAATAAATTTTCGTAGAAAAATTTTTTTTTTTCGCGTAATATTTACGTTGCAAAACGCATTTTTAGTTATCGTCGATGCCGAAACTAACAAGGTCTGAAACCAAAACTAGCATCTACAAAGGATAACCATTTCACTTTCTGCAGCACTTGACTGCTAAACAATGCAAATTAAATCGAAAAAAAGAAAGCAAGAAAAAAGCATGCAGCAAGCAAAAAAACGCAACTAATTTTTATGTGTGTTTATTAGTATATTATTTATTATGTTAAATTATTTATTAGGAGCGGTCAGGAATGATATATATATATATATATATATATATATATATATATATAATAGTATTTGCTGATTCTTTGGCGTCCATCTACTGACTTCGATTTGTTCCATCTGGCAACACTGAGCCACAAAGCCCAAAGCCATAACTACAGTGTTCTAGAGGGGGCTGTAGTGGCAAGAGCGGCGGCCGCTTTGTGAAGATTTTGCGCGTAGACGACACCATGGCGCTGCTGTTCTGTGCCCTAGGAGCGCGCCCCCGTCAGCCCCATCATCAGCGCTGTTGGGCGCTTACTACTGTGGTTTGACTGGAGCTTTTCGCGGTGCGAAACAACTGCTAATGTTGTTCTGTATACTCTCTTTCACCTTATGATGTACCGCAGGAAAGGCTACAAGCGCGAGCTCCTTGCTCTGGGGCACATCTCGGCGGCACAAGCTCTCGTGAATTAAGAGCAGCTGCCAACGCTATGAGCTCGCGCTTCTAGCCTTGGCTGCGGTACAACGTAAGGTGAAACGAAGTATAGTAAATTGTAGTTCTGCCTTTGGACTAATGCCTCTAGAGTGTGTGCTATCCTCTACTTGAAATATTCACGTGTTTTGAGTCGATTAATATCGACTCCCCCCCCCCCGCAGTACTGACACATCGTTCAGCAACGCTATCACTTGGGCTGCAGGCTTAATAGTTGCGAAAGAAGTTCTCCGGTGCTACATTTTGGAGAAGCGTACCGCGTCACCCTCGTCGTCTTCTTCGTTCATCGCACACGTGCCATTAATTCTCCTAGGCCACAGAACTCCAGCGCCACTCGCGGTATCTACGTCGGCCGTCTTCAAGCGCTTCATTGTAAGTGGGCGCCGCTCTTGCCACTACACCCTCTAGAACACTGTAGCCGTAACAAAGCCGCCGCAACCACACCGCAACCGTCGTACCGCAAACGCAGAGACCAGCCGCAGCTCGATTCAATTTTCATCTGAAATCCTGGATTGTTCGTCTATTATCTAGTGATACAAGTGCCGTGTTGTTTGCAGTGACCGTATCTGAGAACGCGACAGGACAAACAATGTTTGCATACGTGAAGTATTCGGATGGTGGATGCCTAATAATACCTGGGGGGCTATGCTGCGCTTTTTGCACTCCCAGGAGACTAGGGAAAGGGAAGTGACGTAAGTGTGAATGAACGTATCTTAGCAACACCACGGATCGCGGAAACTCACCTTCTGACGCCATGACGACATCGCAGTAATTAACTACGACACACTTCCGATGCACGGCCGTGAAGACACGAAGCCAAACGAGCGAACCAAGCCAACGACTCTTGTACTTGCATCGAGCCGACAGTAGCCAAGGGAGTGCGACGCTCACCGTCACATATAATTTATTTTACACGGCGTCGTAAATAAAAAAAACTTTGAATGCAGATGAAATTAGCACGTTTTTCTTTAGTTGGACTGAAAAGAAAAGTGAAACCGAAGTTATGTGATGTAAAAGCTGCTGGCAACAATTGCGGGATGCGGACGCACGCGTTTTTCGAAAACTGATAGCAGACGACAATTTACCACCTCAATCATGTCTGTGATGTCTGATCAGGCAAGCGAGAGAGAGCCCTGCGAGCCAGTCAATGCATTACAAAAAAAAGAAATGGACAATTTTATGTTTGCACATCGCGAACTGGCTCGTGGGGCCTCTGACCTCTCGCCTAGCCTGACCAGAGATGACAAGGCAAGGTTGTGGGCCGAGCTGACCTGCCGGCTGAACCACCTCGGGCCGCCGCGCAGCACAGAGCGGTGGAAGAGAGTTTGGATGAACCGCGTCTGCAAAGCCAGCAAGCGGTGCGCAGTAGTCAAGGCTGAGAGGTAAGCTAGGCAGAAGATAAATACTCGGGACAGAGTTATTGATATATATTTTGTATTCACAGCCGCAAAACGGGGGGAGGCTCCTCCCGGGCGCGGCTCTCGTCAACCTACTCCCGCATCCTGTGCATTGTCTGTGTAGACTCTGCCCTGGGCGCCCCCGGGTTTCGTGTCCCCTACTTTCCAGAGGAGGAGGTACGTACTTGACCAGGGAACAGCACAACAATCTACATGTATTGCTTATTTCTGCAGTGTTCCAGGAGGCGGGGCAAGTGTACGAAGTGAACGCTTAAATCTGTATTTTAAAATTAATGGAAGTATCGCATTAAAATTTCAATGAACTTACCTAAGAAGTGAAGAAAGCAATATTGGCACCTCGTTACCTATGTGGTCCCGAAAGTGGGTTCAGCTTTCTCAACATTTGTTGATAGTTTTATTGGTGGATTACAATAGTCATTGTTTAAAGTGATATATATAAGCAACAAACGGTTAATTTATTGGTCGGTCCCTTTCACAATCTCGCCAACTCTAGGGTGTACAGAGGGCAAATTGACTTGTCCCTGTACAGGCTAACCCTGAAAGGACTGCACGTGTAATAACTATTAAAAACTATGGGACGTGTATGTAAATAGTTCCTGGGCTCAGGGCCATATCCAGGAGAGGAGGTGTCTGAGCTTCAAAATTCATCCTGGACTGCCAAATATTTTTCCTGGGTTCGGCCCCGACTTTGCCTAGACCTAGAAACATTGATGAGAGCTGTAGTAAGGTGGTTAGTTTACATAAAAAGTGATTGACAGGGAGCAGCTACTTGCCTGGTGCTCACAAGAGGTTTACCACATGTCATTGATTTGCAGTATTGTTTTTACAGCAAACTACAAAAGTTACTACAGGGGCAAACCTGTGTAGAATCTAAAGCTGGAGCATAGCTCCATTTGGTTCCATAAAAAAACATAAGAGATTGCACATGTTACAGGGCATGCAGTGCAAACACGTAACGATAAATGTGCCTTGTAGGTGCAGTCTGTGGGCACCCCGGCAGAGGAGCACCCAGCTTCGCAGGATGCGGGGGAGGTGCTCGAGGAGGAGGCGGAGGAGGAGGAGGACGCGAATCAGGAGGCATCTACCTCAACGCGTAAAATACTTGACTTGACTAAGGGGAACTAAAACCGTCAGCAACATGAACATGACCACACTTACTGCTGATCTAAACAATGTTTTCCTGCAGAAATGCCACGGCCTCGAGCACGGCAAGCCACGGTTCGACCAAGGCTGCCTCGTCGAGTCCCTCGAGTCTCTCGACAGGAGCGGCGGGACGAGGCGGCCTTTTCGGCCGTGGCTAACCAACAGCGCCTGCTCGAGCCCAACGTAGGCCGTGACACGAAAGACGAGAGATTCCAGGGACAGGTAATGTTGACAAATCTCTGAAGCACAGTAACATGATTAAACAAAAACTTACTTCACATATAAGCTACCAATAGTTGGCGTCAGCAAAGTCTTCGTAACCTGTATGAGATGTTGGAAGTCAAGAAATCTGCAAATCATGTTTCAGATCACGCTCGGCATGGGGCAGGTCCTGGAGCGGCTGGACCAGCTGGCACAGAACGTGGGGCAGCTGGCGCAGCACGTGGAGCAGCAGGCGCAGAGCATGGACCGGATTGCAGACAACATCCAGGAGGGGGTCCTCTCTATGCAGCAAAACGCTGCCTTCATGCGAGGGGTCATCCTCCTGCTATCCAGCCACGCTCTGCGTCAGCCTCAGCCCCAGCCCCAGCCCCAGGCCGAGCCCCAGGCCGAACCCCAGGCCGAGCCCCAGGCCCAGCACCTGGCCCAACCTCCAGAGGATCACAACTAAGTGTTGATTACTGTACCTTTTTTTTCTCACATCCAAGGGGATCTTTTTTTATTTTGTATATATTATTAAACGACAATGGATGACGACAACTAAGTGTTGATTACTGTACCTTTTTTTTCTCACATCCAAGGGGATCTTTTTTTTATTTTGTATATATTATTTAATGACAATGCCCCCAGTGGCTGCAATAAAATCTTTCATGACCTGTCGATCTATGTTCTCTGGCGAATGTTGTTATCTGTATATATTGTTTTATATGACAGTGCCTGAAGTGGCCGCAGCAACGTCTTTCGTGAACTGTCAACTTATGTTCCTTGGAGATTGTTGTTATTTGCATATACTGTTTTATACGAAAGCGCCTCAAGTGGCTGCAATAACATCTTTCGTCGAACTGTCAGATAAAAAAAACAGAAGTTTGTTTTCACTTGCACATACAGTTTTGTACTGCAACGTGTAGTAGCATTTTGTGCAAGGAAGAAATTTGCAATGTTTGCAAAGATTTTTATTGCTAAAAGAATATCTCTGTCACAATCCACTCATGTGTACCCTCTTTGTAAACAACAAAAATATATCGAAATTCTATAGTCACAAAGAATACATAAAAATGTGGCACACCTGGGAAGGAAGAACAGAATGGAGCACAGGGAAAAATGAGATTGTTTCATAAAGAGGAAAATGATTTGCTCCCAGGTTACTTGGTCATACCTGTTACACAAGCCAATATCCAATAACACACGAGGAAATACATGACATAAAATAACAGAGTTTGCTGTGGGGAAAACGAGGCGGCCTGTCTGTGTTTGCCATATGAACTCAACTAACCAACCACGATCATGGTCTCATGATACTCATTATCTCATTTCTGTTGCAAAATAAAAGTTCAATCTATGGAGAGGTACACCTTTGGAACCACCGTTACACACTTAAAATCCCCAAATACATATTTCGGAAGCAGCACCATCCTTCTGCGAGGGTTGCACAATGGCTGTGCTGAAAACTGTGAGGAGCAGGAGCTCAAGAGACTGCACAGTTCATGAACCGTCGTGCCTGTGGACCGGAAAGAGTTTTACGCACTTCTACGGGGAGCTCCCATGGCACCAAGGGTGCTATGAGGGCCTTGGGTATTCACGGCACCTCAGCCCTTGCGGAACTGCCGGCATGGTGGCGACGATGACGACGAGGGGCTCCCTGTCGTCGCTGGCCTCCCTGGATGGCAGGACTGCCAGAGAGGCTAGATCGACGACGGACTCCTTGGTGGCGCCGCCGCTGCTGGCGTAAGGAACTGCCAGAGCGGCCTGCAGAGGGCCCCGCGACGGCACGGCTTTGGCAGGTCTCGAACTGGGACACAAGGCCTTGCCTCAGAGCCTTCCCCTTGTCCGAGAGGCGCACCGGAAGGTGGGCAGGAACCTGCCCGCCATTTCTGGCTCTAACCCCGCCGAGCCCGGCTCAGAACCGTCCGAGCTCGACCCAGAGTCCGACTCTGGACTATCAGAGTTGGCATCTGGCTCCGGTTCTGGCTCCATCGATGCAAGGCATATATTGTGGAGCACTGCACACGCCATTATAATGGCGGTGGCTGTTGTTGGATGGTAATACAGAGCCCGGTGCCTTTGCAGGCACCGGAATCTGGATTTCAGCAGCCCAATGCAGCGCTCCACAACGGACCTCATCGAGAAATCTGCCTTGTTAAACCGGCCGCTGGCGGTGGAGGTTGTGTGCGCCCCAGGGACAGGGGTGATGAGCCAAGGTTCCAAGGCGTAGCCGCTGTCTCCTGCGCAATCAGACAAAAAAATGTTCTAATATTGTTTTATTTACTGGGAAGTTTGATATGATGTGAAAAAGCGCAAATGGTGAGGAAGAGAAGGGGACAGGATACAGCGCTTTTTTCACATCATGTTTAACCAACTAATCCACCAGTTATTTATGATTTTATTACTGCAGAGGCCAAAAAAGAACACCTTTGTGCAGCAACTTCTTCTTGGGTATGTACACAGTGTATGCACAAGTAACAATGTTAGAAGCATCAGTTTACAGTATTGTAGCCTATAATCCAGGCTCAGCCGACATGCACAAATTTAACAATTTAAGCATGCTCACCAAGCAGGAACCTGCCATCGTCGATGAGCCGGCCTTGCTTGAAGTTGTCGCGGAGCCAGGAGAAGCGCCAGGCAAAGGAGTCGTGCACCGACCCTGGGTAGCATGGGTCGATGCACATTATCCGGCAGCGGGCGTCACACACCTGTTGTAGAGATAGGATATATGTGCTCAGCAGTTTCCCTGAATGATCTAGCAAAGCAAGATAGGATATATGTGCTCAGTAGTTTCCCCGAATGATCTAGCAAAGCACACTGTTAGGCAAGGCCAATTCCAGCCTTAAGCACCATTTGCAAACTAATACGCACAAAAAGAAGAAATCCACGACTAAGGCGATTGTAGGACACAATGCGCCATACATGACCAGGCACTGTCAGTTTGGATACACAAAATGAGCCACGCTCTAGCTGTGTAAAGTATGTATGTACGTACAATCACGAACAGTATGAGCTGAAACAGCACTCCGGCCGCCGCACGGTACTACCTGCGCCGCCTATCGCATCGCTCCGCAAACACGGCGCAGCCTGGGGCCGAGTGTGCGTTCCAATGCGACAGGCGGCGCAGGTAGTACCGTGCGGCGTCCGGAGCGCTGTTTTAGCTCATATTGTACAACATGGAAGAAGAGAGAAAAACAAAGGGGGGGTTGGGGGTTGGGTCCGGTCCAGTGTCGAGCTCGCTCCCTCCCACAGTCATCCCCCCCATGAAACCTATGTTTATATAGTTGGAAAAAAAAATGAGCAGCTCTTTATGCCTACCCTGCATCTGCATCGTCATACAATATAAGTTTCGTTCAGAGGTTACTTACCACCATCACGTTAAGGGCGTAGTACTGCTTCCTGCACCAATACGCAGCCTTCGTGACGGTGGGGTCGTACTTGGATGGGCCGACGATGCTGATCATCGTCCCGTCGATGCACCCAATGACGCCCGGCACCCTGCCGAGTAGTTGGAAGCCCCTCTCAAAGTCGTCCCTCTCGCTTGCCGTCTGGGGAAAGTGGATCCAGCCATGTTGGATCCCCAGACGGCGCACAATAGCGACGGACACGGCCTGCAAGGCGATGCTGACCGTGCCTTGGTCCTGTGCTATGTGCTCGTCGCTCGCCACCATGCCTTGGAAGCTCCCCGTAACGTAAAACCGAAGGGCGCACAGCACTTGGTCCTCCACAGTCACGACAGTACTTGACCGACGCAGTCTCTGCAGCTCCGGCTCCTCGCGGAGTTCGTCGCACAGCCACTGCACTAAAGTCTTCGCCAGGCGGTGATTGATTGATTATTAGGTGTTTAATGGCGCAAAAGCAACATAGGCCATGCTGCGCCAAAGGAATAGTTAAAAGACTCTATAGTAAAAGGAAGGAATTACTATGCAGATGATCTATAACTGGTGCAGGTAGCCAGTTTTTTTAAGAAAATCTAAAATATGACCAAAAGGAACTAAAGGTTGATCTCCCAGTAAAAAGGCTGGATGAAATGGAAGGTATCCAGAAAGTGCAGGGAAACTTGTTCGACGTTCTTGATCAAAGAATTTGCAGTGCCATAGAATATGCAGCATTGTTAGCAATTCACCGCAATGCTCACAGACTGGGGCGTCCTCACCACAAAGAAGGTGTCGATGGGTGACACGTGAATGTCCAATTCTCAAACGACACATTAAAACTTCATGGTGACGGTCTCTATAATGCGAACTCTCCCATACCTCCAAACGTGGTTTGATGACATGTAGCTTATTATTTATTTCTTTGTCCCAGTCTTGCTGCCAGGCATTATGAATTGCTTTTTTAAGAACTGGTTTAAAATCTTCTTGAGGCAGCTGAACGGGTGTTTTCAGAGCATCCTTAACAGACGCTGCCAGCCTATCCGCCTTCTCATTACCTGAAATTCCCACATGGCTTGGTACCCAGCACAGCTAGATATTGTATCCCATTTGGGAAGCCAGGTTTAACTGTACCCGTACTTGTTGCACGAGCCGATTCTTAGAATCATTGAGGGAACAGAGAGAGACGATAGCACTCTGGGAGTCCACAAACAAGATAGCTTTCCTGATGTTGTTGCCTAATATATATTCGATGACCATGAGCACACCATAAAGTTCTGCAGTAAAAATGCTGGCAACAGAGTGGAGCCGTCGAGCTTTTACAAAGTGTTCTGAATATACAGCCGAACCGACAAAGTGTGGAGTTTTTGCACCATCAGTGAAGAATTGTGCATGGTCCTTATACTTAGCTTGCAAGGTCATAAACTCTTGCTGAAGGACTAGTGGTGCAACAGTTCGCTTATTGTATTTTGCTAGTGACCAGTCACAGGTATAGTGCACCGCCTTCCAAGGAGCAATGCTTCGAACTTTCGTCATCAAGCTACGCTCAGGAAGTGCAAGCTGCAGGGATGCAGACATGTATTGAATACGGAGGCTTAAAGGCCGTACTATACTTGGCTTATTCTCAAAAAGACGAAAAAAAGGAGATACCTGCAAACAACGGAAGGATGGGTGTTCAGGGTCAGATTTGACTTTATAACTATAGCATAGGCTGAGGAACTGTCTTCGCTTTTCTAATGGCATTTGGTACGTCTCTGCATACAAACTCGGGACAGGCGACGTTCGGAAGGCCCCCGTGGCAAGTCGAAGTCCAAGGTGATGCACAGGATCTAGCATTTTTAAAGATGACGGTCGTGCCGAGCCATATACAACCGCACCATAGTCGAGGCGGGAACGAACCAGCGAGTTGTAAAGTTGCAGGAGGCATCTCCTGTCAGAACCCCAGGACATGTGTGCAAGCACCTTGAGAACATTGGCAGATTTAAGACACTTTCGCTTCAGTTCTTTTAGATGGGTCTGAAAAGTGAGCTTCTTATCAAAAATAACACCCAAGAATTTGTGCTCATGCCTAACGGTTACGTCAATGCCATTCATC